ACCACCACAACTGAAAGCTTGTGGATTTTTTTTGTAGCTGAAGAGCTAATTAATTGGGAGTTTTTCATCATCACTTAGAAATGAATAGAGGCAGTGCAGTAAATAAATATAATTAAATGATTAAATTTTACACAGGCTTAGTGATAAATATAGTATGCTGTGTAAAAGCATACTTCATTGAATTCTACTAATACCAATGATTAAGTTGAATGTTGGTATGATGTGCCGTGATTAAAAGTCTATGAACAAATGAATAAAAACACAATTGTGAAAGATATTCATATAGGAAAGCTCTATAATTAGCTACAAACAAATCTTTTCAAGAATCAGTGAATTGCTGTGAGTGTTGATGCAGTAGGTAGATCACTTCCAGTGGCCCAGATGAGGATTTCTTGTTACCAACAGAAGTTGAATGGCATGTTGGCAGACTTGTCGTACGTCAGAAAACGTTGCCGCGTACGTGATGTGTGCAGTCGCATATTCGCGTTACAATTCTTGATTGCACAGTCACTGTTTAGCCAAGAACATGGATACAGTACCTTTGTGCAATGTCCACGAATGAAATTGTTGCTGCAACAATAAACTAAAGTTTTGCAGCTTATACATTGTGATTAAAAACACGTTGAACTACGGAAAAAGTAATTGATAGTCTTACACACATGGATATTAATACACAGCGATGTGAAGCGAACATGAAAAGTCTGTGAGATGTCAAGACACGGAGGTGAATGACATGTATTGTAATTAATTATTTAAAATAAAATCCGTACATCGTGCATTATTAAACTATTTTATTGACTTTAAACAATTTACACACGCGTACGTTGCATACATTGCGATGTGAACCTAAGAGAGTGAGCACCAACTGGTGTGTGGGTGCTCACGGGCCCAGAGTTTTCTTCGTATTGAACTGCCGGCAGCGGTGAGTCCGGCTGGGAGAGCGGGCCTTTGGCTTGTAACCAATAAACCAATTGTAATTAAGAGATTAAAGTTATTGCTAATTACAAATATTATAAATTGCAAGGTTACTAAGCATTTTGAATTGCAAAAATTATAAAGCTAGTTTTGAATTTAAGAATATTGGGAAAATGTTACGTAATATGACGCAAAGATTGCTTGTGGCTGGTACGCGCTATGAGACCGTTGGGTTCTAGAAAGATGAAGGGAGCGGGGAGGGGATATTTGTAGAACTGCGCATCCTGCCTGAGCTTGCAAAAGACAGTTGTGAATCACTTTTACAGAAATGGTTCGTACTGAATCCTGACTGTATTGATGAGTGTGTCGAAATAAATGTAATTGATTTATAAGTAGGTAGCTTGCACAAACAGTTCTAAATACTCATGTGAATGGTTCAATGGAAAACATACTCAGTGAAGTGATTTTGCCTGGTTTAACTTAAACCAAAACTCAAGATGTTCTATGTTGTATTGTTTTTTTAAGTTTGAACAGTAATAACAATATCGTAAATATACGGGAACTTGGCTGTTACAAACTTATGGAGTTTCTCTTGCTTAGATCAGGATAGTATGTCCTTCTCGGGTTTGACACATCTGTAACTAATAAACATTTTTTGTTTACATGGCAATAATTATTAATTAATGTTGTGGAGTAAATATTGATTTGTAAAGCTCCAAACATCTGTACGCTGCCCATTTTAGCTACATGGGTCATAAGTCGCTGTTTACGTTCTTCTGTGCACTGTGCGTATCCACCTTTGTATCCACTACTATATGTATTTTTTAAGTTGTATTTTTTAAATTTTTTTAAAATGCTCATTGTGTCTCTAAGCAATATTTTAAAGTAGTGGCCCTTTTTAATTCTTTATTATTTAATTCTAAAACATATTTACAATTTAATAATTGATTGCTCACCAGGAATGTTATAATCTCCAAATGATAGCAAAATGAAGAAAATTATGAGAGCAATCTCTCTCATCAAAATTGACATAAAAATGGAATATATGCAATGTACTCGTCGAATGCTCTTTCAATTTGCGCATTCTAATTGATGGTCACCACTCGTAGAATTTGCCTCATCCCCACCCTTCACATTTCTCTGCATTTGCACTTGAGTACTCGCGTGCGGCTCTAGAGATCAGACTGCAAATTGTTCTGCAGGTCTGATGGAAGTAAATATTTATATACATAATATCCCTTGGGGTCATTTTCTTTGCTCTTATGGGGATTGGAATCCAGTAAAATATTGTGCAATGATACAATGGTACCATTAAGTTTAGTATAATTTGAACTGTAAGTTTTCATTGAATCGAAAAATGTACGGGAAACGTAATGTTTGTCCGTATTCAATTTCGGTGTATGATGCATTTAATTCATCTTTAAACATGCATCTAAGTGTCAATAATATAATAGGTATATACCAGGGATTTTCAAAGTGTGCGTCGCAGCCCCCAGGGGCGTCGCGATGATTTATTAAAAATGAAATTTAGATTTGATTTAGTTTCATCCTTGTGTCATTTAGGTTTACAAAATAGTTGTGTATTATCTTACTGTATGTTATTTGTGATGTATATGATTTATTTTACTAATTAATTGTCAATTAATTGTACCTGACAATTCATTTTCCAATACTCTTCTGTAGCACCTATAGCATCGATATACATCTCCAGCGCGCGTCGCGGCCTGGGATATTTAAATACCGGAGGGTGTTGATGTTCTATTCTCTAGTTTATTTAATAACTTGTTATAAACTCTTTGACTGTTCTATCTACTAGGGTGGTGGAATCAGTGTATTCTTTGTATTGTGAAAGAAAAACGTTATGAGTATCGCGTGTAGAAGAAATGTACGTCTACTAAAACTGTTGAAAAAATGTGTTTAAACAAAGAATCATGTTAATCATTGAATTTTATTCAAGCATTATTTCTTCTTTTTTCGTTAGGGTCATCTAGGGATAAGGACACAATTTTAATACTTCCTTTTAAGTGGCTGTTTCTTCTTTTCGTACTCCTTTACCTTTTCACTATGTTTCATTTTCCTCTCTTCGGACCATTGTCGTCCAGTTTTCCTCACCTTTCTTGGTCCCCTTCCATTTTTTCAATCTATTTTTAAAAACCTCTCTCTCTCTCTCTCTCTCCCTCTCTTTCTCTCTCTCTCTCTCTCTCTCTCTCTCCCCCTTGTTTTTTCTCTTACATTGTTTCTTTCTATATCTTTCTTAACTTCTTGAACGCAAATTATGGTAGATTTCTTATTCCAAAGGTACATAAAAATGTTTTTTGTTAGTCTGTTATCATCCATCCTGAATATGTGTCCAAAAGCAATTTTTTCTTCTGAATTATGTCAGTTATTTTTTCTATGTAGCGATATATTTCATCATTGCTTCATAATTTCGAGAATTCTGTAGTTTTCAGAGGTATTTTTCGTATGATTATTTTTTTCTAATACTTTCGGCAACTATATTATTATTATTATTATTATTATTATTATTATTATTATTATTATTATTATTATTTTATTAGACAATCAGATTGTTATTTTAATAACCAAATAGCTTATTCTTAATTTTTTTAAATTAGTAAACTTGAACTTCAAATCTCAAAAATCTCGTATATAAAAACATTTAATTTTTCTAATTGTACTCTTTTACCCAATACATCTCTCTCTTACCTTTCTGTGGCTTCATTCCTATCTAGACTTGAGTGAACAATTTACATTCGTAAAAAAATTCAAATCGTGTATTTCCCCTTGAGCCACTGAGCAAATGCTGAGATGGCCCCTTGTTTTCCTTCTGGTCATAAATGTAGATTCACTATGCGCACGTTCTTTACCTCTTCTTTAACTAATTGTGGTAAGAGTAAAGTTGGTAGAGTAGGTTGCTATTTTGTTAGCAGTATATAAATCAAATTTGTAGTTCTTTAACCAAAGCAAATAAGTACTCTCTTACTTGGGAGCGAAACTTAAGTTTTCAAATGTTGCCTACCTAGCTGTGTTGATACTTTTATTCATCATTCAACTAGAGGAAAGTGTCCTAAATCTGATTACTCCCCCTAAAGTGGACTCTAGGTCTCCAAGTTCTGCATTCACCTGAACTCTAGGACCAAGTCGTAGTTCCGGCTTGTATCACTCTGTATGGGGAGCATACAAACCACCCGCTTTACTTATTCGTTAGCAGCCCGCCATCAGGTATTTTGACGCCGGCAGAAATGTTTACATTTTAGTAGTTTTTCGTGATTTCTCCTTGATGTTTGTTAAAAAATATTGGGTTAACAAAAAGTAGGTCATAATTGCACAAATTAAGTATGGTGTACTTGAGGAAGCAACAAAAGCAAAAAAAGACAGCCTTATAGTGTTGGATAAAAATCTTGAATAGCTGTTCACTACTGTCTTGCTGTGGTAGTAACTTCATCTATTTAAAATAATTAAAAATTGGGGATTTGGCTTTAGATACTTTTCTCGACGAATAGAAAAAGAATGTTGTAGGGTTTCTGGAGCTCGTGTGGAGATTATGTTTCTTCCCTTTACGTCACATACAGCTCTTTTCGATTTATATACATACATAAATCAAATGTATGAAAATCATCCATTGTTACTTGCAACAGAACTCAATCCAAACGCGAGTTCAACAACTCTCGATATCTGATCTATGAAATATAACACGGCTTTTTCGCATTAATATTCCAATACTGAATCAACAGTAATATCCACAGATATTTCGCCTCGTTTTGTGTTACCGCTCTTAATCACAAATTATCACGAAGTTCTGGCCAATAAATATCGGGTAATACACACGACATGTGAATATTTGGCCCGTTGACCACGAAAAAACGGCCCTTGATATAGGTAATTGCGTTATAGATTTGGCCGTTTCAGGTTTCACTGTAGTTTCTTCACATCATTACAGTTTGATGTAGTACTGAGATAACGAAAAACTAAAGTTTCTGAATAATATGAATTAGAGATTGTTTCAGTCTGCAGTTCTACATAGGGGCCTAACTAAAGGATAGGATACAAGAAAATATTTGAGTAACCAAACCAGACAAATCATTATTGCTTTAAAACCTTTTCATAAGTGTTGGTTTTCTCATGATGGAATTTTTACAAAATAATTTATTCATTAGTTGCATTTATAATTTGCCAATTTATGATAGTTATTCAGGAAAAGCACTGTACAAAACAATTTTATGAAAAATAACATTTATTTAAAATTCATATATATGAGATCACACAGCAATTGTAAAGTCTTGGTTCCCACTTGATGGACCAAATATATTCAAAGAATTTTTCATAATTCCAATTCTCAATTTTTTTACAGAATCAATATCGCATTCTGCTTCACTTAATTCATGGCCATCAGAAAACCCACTGGGGGGTTCCAACTTTTGACCTAGAACAAAGGCTGTTTCTGCTGTAGGGAGCTTCCTCAACATCCGCCCATTGCCAATGTTGTTTCTGAAACAAAAACAAGAAAATGGTTGTTTGTCCTCATTCCAATTATTATACATTTATTCTAAAATTATCCATGGCAGACAACTTTTAACTATATTTATTAGGCAACCTAAATTTCAAAAGTATACATTACTAAACCTATACTTTTTTAATCTTGGTCTCTCTCTCTCTCAATTTCATATTATTTGCAAATTGTATTATGAAAATATGGTTTATAACACAGTACCTACAAACTTTTCTCACTTTGCAAATGGATAGTGTTAATTACATTTTCAGCAGAATTATGTTTTCATTTTCCAACACACATTGTGTAACTCAATATTTCAAGCAACTTCCTTGTGAAAAAAAATTGAATTTTATTGTATATGTACTTTCATTATAAAATTTATGTTTAATTGTAAATTTTAAATAACAATACACAGCATTGAGTTAATACAAAGCAGCAAGTTGGTGTAAAGGTGAAGATATTTAATTGAAATTGAAAATCACACTTATAATGAAGGTGTATTATTTCCATTCCGTTGTTTGTTGTTACTGATAATAATAATAATAATAATAATAATAATAATAATAATAATAATAATAATAATAATAATAATAACAACAACAACAACAACAATAATAATACTTCTTATCATATCAAATTAAAAACTAGTTGTTTTATTTCATTAAAATTCTTGAATGTTATCTCAACCAACATTGTTATTTTGAAGTGAGGTATTAGATAAATGTTTGAATGGGAAAAGTCATAATATTTCATATAAGGAGTTAATTGAATTTGTCCAAAAAAATTAATATTTCTTGCATTTTTTCTTTGTTACATTCTTACATTTCATACCAAATGTATATGAAAAATTGTCAATGTTCTTATATGGTATTATGTAAAACCTATTTTTAAATAAACTTTTCAGTTTTAATTATATGTTGTATATCCTATTTTGTTAAATTGTGTATACTCACTTTGTAATGTCAAGATGGCATTGTACAAGATCTAAAAGTCATTTAAAATAAGAATAAATGATATTAAGAAAAAAATACTTTGAACACTTCCACTTGCTGAAGACACAAAACCTCAATTTGCATATGCTGACTATTTCTTGCTGAAATATTCATTTTGACAGCAGTTATGTTATACTATACATTTTTAAGTATTGTTAACCTGGGGTTAGAAATACATATAGTTCTTAAGATAGAAAAGATTTTACCAAAATCAAGCAATATTTAATGTTATTAAAGTTGTTCTCTAAGCATGGAAATCCATAACAATAAATTCAATAATATTTGGGAATAATAATGTTATTAAATAAAATTCATTTTATGATCAGAAAAGTCAAACTTCATATGTAAAGCTTATTATGTAATGTTTTTCATGAGCAAGCTACAAGGAACTGAGGGAATGAATATTTAAAAAAATAAAAAAATAAAGAAAAAAAATTATATTTTAGGTACAATGACATGCAACAGAGAAGAATTTTATACATTTAATAATACACTGAAAAACATAAAAATCAGTATAATCAGCTAGAAATAACAAGTACTTTCAACCACATAATGGTTAACCACAACAAACATACAAAGGGAAATATGTTAATTATCAGATGGAGAGATAGTGACAAACTTCATGCAACTCAAGCAAATGTTTTTTAACTTTCCCAGTTTCTGGAAGGAAATTACAAAGGGAATAAACATCAATGCTACTATGCTTTAGAGAGTAGAGTATTTTCTGAATTCTAGAGAACGAACCAATGGAATTGTTTTATTTGCATATTTTTGTACTAATAACCACTTAGAATGTTATTGCATTAAATGCATTGAATAAAGATTGTTAAATTTCAACATTACTGTTGATAAGACCTGTGTCTTCCTTCATATACAATACAAACATGTGCATACTCAGAAGAAATCTGAACAGATCACCTAATTGCAGTGAGCATTCAAACTAAAATTTGAAGTAATGCAAGATCTTTTACAGTTTTACACAGTTACAAAGGAAAAATAACAAGTTAATTCTATGATGATACTAGGCCAACTCTTAAACATATCTTTTCACTTATATTTGATGTAAGATGATTTAATATGTAATCATTTAGGCTATATTTAAATTTAAGTGAATAAGGAAATTCACTAGAACTAGGCACTTTGAGTCTGTTAGAATAGAACTGAAGTGAACTAATAAATTAGAAGGAAAAAAAAAATTAATCACAGGAAGTATCCAAGCACACTTGTGTGCACCTTATTGACTTTTTGATGGAAATTGTAGACTTACTAACTTGAAATTCAAATCACATTTAATTTTTCAGCACCAATAGGATTTTGTTTTCCTCATTGATATTTTAAAACAAAAATAGTACTTCGAAACTAACATCATTTTTATTAAAAATAACTTCTCTGCATTGAACTTGTGAATTTTTTGTTTTTTTCACCAAATTTGTCAAGAATTGAAGGCATTAAGATAACATTTTAAATTTAAAAAAATGATGCATTTGAATGATACATTAAAATTGATTCAATACTCCATTTCGCATTTCTGCTCAGTTTCCCTTCTTTTCTTTTTTTCTTTCTTGGTTCTCATTTCAAAGAATTATACTTCAAGTATGGTTTCTAATTTCTAATTTTAAAACAAAAAAGTATTTAAAAAATAGATTTATCTTTAAAAGTAAGTCAATATCTTTGATATTGAAAAACATGTCAAAATGTTTGGGGTTACTTTTCCAGTTATGTAGCAAATTGTTGAAACAGCTTTAAAGAGAAAAAAACTTTTTCTGTTTTGCACATTCATCCTTCTAAATAATGTCAATCTTATTAGAATCATATTGCTATTAATATGATTTGGCTTATTTTTCATATATAAGTTTTAAAATATCTTAGTACTCACTGTAGTGGAAGAGGACACTCTTCCACCATCATTTGCATATTTGATATGGGATGATGGATCAAAACAGTAGTTCTCTCTGTGAAAAATCAGAATCACTAGAATCAGAATACAAGGGTGTACAAAAATGTATTCTTTTCATTGATATAGAAAATATCCTAAAACCGTTATGCTGAACAATGCATTGCTTAATATCTATTCTCATTTCAATAAGTTATTATGTATGTGTAGATGAATGAAATGTATGGTATACACTAAGTGTATACACAAGTAATAAGAGAGTAGGGTGACCAGACATCCTCTTTTATCTGGACATGTGCTCCTTTTTATACTTTTGTCCAGAATCCAGGTTGATTTTTTAAAACTCAAAATGTTCTCCTTTTTAAACATTTCTCATCTGACAGCACAATATTTTGAAATAATTATTTGTTTGGACACCTATTTACACTAATATGCCTAAGAGAAAGCGCTATCACTGGTTCACTCATTCTGCCCAAACGTGTTTTTAGTAGTTTTGTGAACTGGCAAGGGAGAAAATACGATCTTCTCCTAGGTCTATATTTGCTAAAGATATGTGATAGTTTAAAATGCCAAAGAGGAAATGTAAGTTTATTGATGCTCTAGCCAGCAAATTTCCTGCATTCAAAATGGGAAGGATGGAATCTGAGGCTGAAAGCTAAGTTTGTGTAACTAGATGATACGACTTGATTTCAAATGAAGGGTTGTTACTTTTTCCATGTATCAGTATTCTCTCAGTGTACATTTATAATTATACAATGTAACATGTACAGTCATGCAATGGGCATATTACATTGTTATTTAAAATATCAACAACAATTTACAATTCTTTTTTCACTAAATGTCCTCCTTTTTATTTGCCTCGGTCCTCCTTTTCATCAATGAGGATCTGGTCACCCTAAAATGGAGGAAACTTTTTCTAACAAGGAATGTGTTTGTTCCTGCTTTTTTATAAAACTTCTCAGATACTTATATCAACTGGAAATCTTTTCTCTTAAAATATATGCTTAGAGTTGGGCTGTTCCACAATAGGTATCGAAGAATGCCCATGATACTTGTGGAAGAATGCGAGAAACACGTCTTTACCCTGCAAGAGGAGGGTTGAGGCATTATGCTTTAATAATCATCACTTTTTGGCTGAAAGCCATTCTAAATTATTGTAAGGTCACAAAGATTCAGTTTCTATAGAGATCAACATAATTTTTTTGTTACTACATCAACTGAGAGGCAGATGCATTTTTAAACACATGTTATATGGGTTAACTGTGTAACAGTTATATGGGTGGTCATTGTATTATGATTTACAAATTTTTTAAACCAATTTTATATATCAACATTATGTACATGAATGGTCTTAATAAAACTGAATTATATTTATTAATATTTTCGCAATACCTATTACAAAAGTCATGAAATTAATATTATTCTACTGTAATCTGTTTTATCTTCTAGGGAAAAATTCCCAAATGTCTTTACCTTGTCCCCACAAAGAGGAGATTTGGCAAATATGAATTTTCAGGTAGTATCTTAAACTTAACAAGGTTTCAGTACTAATCAAAAAAGAGACAAAGAAAGCTTAGATCAAGATATCTGGAAATACAACTGAAAGTCAATGCAAATACAATCTACTGGAATAATGTTTAAAACAGGTGCTACTTTGTTGTCTTCCTTACTAAATATAAATGCATTATGTGTTGTAGTGTTTAGAGGTGCTGTGCTTGGAACACAGATAATACTAATTGACAACATTTTGGAAACATTGAGATCACACATGCAATTAATTTTCTAATATCGCCTTGTGAAATATATTTAATAAATATTAATAAACAAAAATATAAACTACCCTTTTAACAAAACATTACTACATTTCATCATATATATTCATTAGACATAAAGGCCAACAGTATATTTTACGTGAATGCCATGCAGACAAATAAAGATTCTTTTAATATTGAAGAATCTTGACTATGTCAGCTTTTCTTTTAATCTCTTGTTGTTCTTCTACAATTATTAACACTTATTACTAACTAACAAAATAAACAAGTGTTTCAGAAAAATGTTCAAAGATGAAGAGGACAGGTAGGAATACAGTCACCATACAGTTATGTCAAGGGATACAGTTTTCATCAATAAAACCTAGGTCAGAGTGGCCAGGGATTGGCACTGGACTTTGTCAAAAAATGCATTAGGCTTTGAGAGACTGGCATACCATTGCTCACTCAAGTTATATGGGTGGTCACTGTTTCTGAATAAGAAGGGAAGGCAGAAATTCCCAAAAAGAATCTTGGAATAATTGAATTCTGAATTGAATTGAATCATGATCTCAGCATTGCATTTTATTATTCATCTTCCAGAATTTATGACGCCTTCTGACCTGGCAATGGGATGCTGTTTCGTGACTCCTACTACAATTCGTGAGGCTTTATATTCTGCTCTACCCAATAGCCTGAAATAGTGGCTACCTGAACAACTTATGTGATCATTGGAATGCTGACCTCACAGGAGGAGAGACACTCTTTTTACACTGTCAAGTGCCATCCCATCGTCCATTGAGTAAAAGTACCTCCTTTGATACACTCTAACCTGTCTTCTGTGTTTGGGTTGACTTTTTTTCTGAATCAATTTGTAGGTACCTATCTAAAATGGAAATCTTTGCAGTTAGTCATAATACACTTCATTCAAAAAATAAAAAAGCCTACATCCATTGTCTATTATCATTCAAAATTCATGCTAGAAAATTTGAAATGCAGGTAATCAGAAAACATACAATCACAAAAGGGTATATCTATGTACATTGTATGATTTGTAAACATTAAAGAATAGAGAATATAAAATTAAAAATGGAAAAAAAATTAAAATAAAATATATATAAAAAAAATAAAAAATAAAAAAAAATACAAAACTTCTGATATGTTAGGAGCTGTAAACTGAAACATTGGTAAATATTTTTAGACCAGAGAAGAGATAGTTATATTTTTAAAACATTTCTGAATTTCTACAATGCTGAAGAGTGTGCACTAAATATTTTATATAACAATATGAAAGTGTGATATGTACCGTACCTTATAAAGATTATTTTAATCGCATTATTGATTCAACCTATTATATCTGAGAACAACAGATAGTTGTCACAGGATTATTATTGCAAACTAGGGCATTTAGAGAAGTGTGTGGAACATAATTTTTTCAATGAACATGTGGTGGATGATCTCATATAATGAACTTGTGACACTTGCCACCTTTGTTACATTTGCTCCTGATTGGTTGGTAATTCATTGTTCATTGTCATGGTGTTTGGCAGGTCTTGTTCTGATGCTGTCATAGAGATTTCATGTGTCTTCCAAACTCCAATGCATGAGTGGCCTACCTATCAGGGGAAAATGTCACGTGTGTAACTTCATAACATGAAATTTCCCACCTCATGTTCATTGGTTAAAAGTGAACATCCTCTTACGTGTTCCAGAAGTTACGTGTTCTGTCACATCTGTACATATTTCTAACTGTCATATGTGAAAGTAAATTACATCTTAATTAATGTGCTTTTATATTAATACCATTGTATTTTACAAGATTATTTTGACATTTTGAAAGTATATTTTATAATTTTGAAAAATTGTTATGTGATGAAAACATAACGAATTTAAAACAATCTCTCGCATGATCACAGTGGTTTCTATATCATTTAATTATAATTTTCAGTCACTACTAATATTCATAATTTCAAAGTATACACTAAGTAGGCCTAAAGATTTTCATGACGTGACACACAAAAGAAACAAATAACAGTTTTTGGAATAAATGTTTATGGAAACTTTGAATCTTGCAGGTCTTTGTAAATCTGAGAATATGTAAGAGGCAGAAAATAGAGTATATGAATTGTAAAATTTTATGCTGATGAATTCAGAGAAATGGAGAAGTAAATTTCATTCCTAATACAATACAAATTCTTTATATTCTAAATTTTGGTAAAGCATGTGGTTAACCTACAATTTAATTAAAAGTACAGGCATGTTGGAAATTGTAAATATGAATAAGAAGCAAGTGAATGCACATGATATAATTTATGATATTGGTTGTAAAAGAGTGAGCAAGTATTTGCTTTTGAATTTCGTACAAAGATTTATTCAGTGGTATTTCTAGTTTTGGTTTCTTAACCCAATAATGAATTAATTTTATGGTATAAATAAAAAAGCAGCCAGCTCAGTTTTTCAAAAGAAAAGAGCATTCTAAATAAATTTAAGCAAAAAAATTATATGTGAATTTTGTTGCCAATACACATTATTTCTTTGCATTAGATCTAATTATTTTCATTGAACAGCTATACATTGTACAAGCACAATATTATTTCATTTCAGCATCGAACTTAATAAGATCAAAATCATCTTTTTATATGGCATTGAAAGAAAGAAAAGAAATACAAAATAAAATTGTATAATTCATCAAAAAATATTTATTGTAATAAATAGACAAGTGTGAGTAAAATATATTTTGTTGTTTATAGAACTCCACTTTGAAATGTTTATCAACTGACATCTGAAAAGTGGAAAAAATTAATTAGATATTAAGAGCAAATAGTAGGTCACTTGAATTGCTATCAATTAACAATATGATTTTGGACATCACATTGTATTAGTAATGTGGGCTTTTTTAAAATTTAAAATTATTTACAACAATACTATAAAATTCATTGGCAATTTTAAACCAAACTTTTGTTTTTATTAATTTCTTGAGCCCTACTTTTTGCCATGTTTTCTTATTTTTTATGTCATGGAAATACTATTATTACTGTGTTTTTTGAGATTTATTAACATAGCATTAATATTGATACTCATATCATGAGTTGCGATTTTATTTCTCATTGAGTGCCTGTTTCTTGAAGGTTTCTATACATGATGATTTCTCTTAATAAGTGCAATATGTTTTGTTTGAAATATTCACAGATAAACAATCATTTATTTATATTATCATACTTGCAAGACAGAATTGGAAGTAGTATTATGGACTATCCCTTCCAAATATTTAAGTACTGTGTTACAAAAATACCATATTCATTTTTTAGACTTTCCTGAATATTTTTAGTTGGCAAAATAAAGTTATAAAAACATTTCACTCTATATTTACTGTTCAAACGACAAAACAGTAGATTTTGCTATCATCACCTGAATTTGCCATGGCGTGGAAAAGATTTCCTTTCAGAAATTGGTGACGGCTCGGTTGAAGTGCTTGATTCGTGTGCGTGGTACAGGAAATCTAGAATACAAGAAATTACATACAATAGATATTTAAATGAACATGTAATAAAATCTTGATTAATCCAGTGGTTGAACAATTGATTATAAGGTACTGTATAATACAGAGGAAATTCCTTGTTAATCTTTCTTTTTAAAATTTTAAGGTTAATTCTTTACTGCTTTCAGATTGATCTTGATACACATAAATTCAATTATTTCATTGACTTTTTGTAGAACATTTGAAATGAAAATATATTTCAGAAATTTTATAAATAGGTGCAGGAAATATTTAAACTTTTGCCAAAATGTGTGTTTTGCTAAAATGTTGTCTAAGCTACAATTAAGAAAAAATTAGGTCAATTCTCTCATGATTGTTCACTTCCTTGTCTGCTGTGATATATAATTAAAATGTGTGAATTCTTCAGAAAGATTGTTTTTGTTAATATAAATTTTAGTCTACCCTGTCCAGGCACTATAGGTTTCTCTGAATTTCATGAACTTATTGTTCCTGGTTAACATTAAAAGGAATCCAGACAAATTAGAGAGTGAAAAAGTAGCCATACTACTGAAAGGACTTACTTAACTTTACATTTGGGACTGATTTGTTTGGAATTGGTCGTTATTCAGAACAATCAGGAATGAATAAAGATCCATGTTTCAATTAATATTAGACATTTATTTTGTTCAATCAGGAGCTCAATGCTGAGTCATCTGAGTCTCAATGACTGAATTATGTTGAAGAAGAACGAGTAGAAGTAAAAGAAGTAGAAATGGAAGAAGAAACAGAAGAAGTGGAAGAAGTGAAAGTGGAAGAAGTGGTGGAGGAAGAATTGGAATTGGAAGAAGAGGAGTGGGTGTGGAAAAAGTTTAGGAAGAAGAAGAGGAAGTGAAAGAAGAAGTGGTGGTGGAAGAAGAAGAAGTGGTGGAGGAAGAAGATGTGATGGAGGAAGAAGACGTGGTGGAGAAAGAAGTGGAGGAAAAAGAAGAAGAGGAAGTTGTGGAAGGAGGAAGTTGTGAAAGAGGGAAAAGAAGTGGTGGTGGAAGAAGTGCTGGAGGAAGAGGAAGTGCTGGAGGAAGAAGAAGTGATGAAGGAATAAGAAGTGATGGAGGAAAAAGAAGAAGTTATGGAGGAAAAAGAAGTAACGGAGGAAAAATAAGTGGTGGAAGAAGAAGAAGTGATGGAGAAAGAAGTGATGGAGGAAAAAGTGGAGGAGGAAGAAGTGGTGGAGGAAGAAAAAGAAGGGGTGGAAGAGGAAGTGGAAGAAGGAGAATAAATGGTGGAAGAAGTGGAAGTGGAAGAAGTGATAGTGAAAAAACTTTTCACTTCAAAGTATCTAGTAGTACCTGCATAATAATAACACTCTTAAAAATTATCATTTGTAGTTTTATAATTCTACTTTATTAAGTAGTGTTGAACACAAGTAAAAACACATCTAACGTAATTGTGATTAGAACTTTAATAACATGTAAGGTTAATAAATAAAAGCAAAAGGAATTTGTAAAAGTCATCTTTTGATCTGAATAATGAACCTTAGATATTTTTCTATCTCTTCTTTGTTTGCATTTTCTTTAAAACATATTAATGCTCAGGAACAAGAAAATACAAACATTTAAATACATGCAATTTAAAAAGCAGGGAAATAAAAGAGCAAACAGAAACACCATATCACTAGACTACTGAGATAAGAGTAACCATGCATCAATGAAATAATGTTTGCTATTAGTTATTTTTTTCTTTTTTTGGAGAGGAAAGGAAATTTTTGATATTCTTAAAGCTGACTACTTAAAATTTTTAAGTTGGTGTAAAACAGAAACAAACACAAAGAGAGAAATTACCAAATGATTACAAGCTCACATGAAAAATTGTGGGCAAGTTGATGCAAATATTTGGTGAGTTTCTTAAGGTTATTGTTCTCCACAGAAAATAATTTCTAATATTGTGGGCTTCTCTTTGCCCAATGATGCAACTTTTGTGAAGATTCAGGAAAATAAAGAAATGCTATTCCCAAAGATTTTTCTAAAACATTTTTTCCAAGGCAATGATAGGTGTAGAAAGTTTTAAGAAGGAAACCATTTAATAAAATTAAAAAACAACAACAAATATTTCAAATACTACTAAAAAATTGATAAAGTGAATTTGAAGACAAATAGTTTATTTTATAGATAGTCACAAAAATTATAAACCTTTTGAAATGTATGTACATTGTACATTTAAACAAATAATGAAAAGCAGAAACCCTGCAACAATTACTGTCCTGAAGCTTCAAGATTTTACATTGCTAATCTTTCTGGAAAAGTTCTGTGAAATTAAATCTAATGCTTTAATTTTAAAAATACATTTTAATATATTGTAATTGTTTCTAAATTCACAAAATATACAATTTTGGTGGATTTGGAATTTAATATTTTGTAATCTAGAACATTTTCAAGATGACAATATATTCTCCTACCCCCCTCATTCGATTGTTGTGTTGAAATTAATATCTCAGTGTAAGATATAAATGAATGCTTGGTCTATCACAGGCAAAATATTATTTTGTTATTTCCTGTAAGAAATGAAAGGATATGAAAATAGTTTAATTTACATAAGTGTAAAACTTATTATACAAGACAATTGTAATTATTAATGAAACAAGTTTTATATGGACATGATAATACAAATTGAATGAGGCCTTATCCAAGAGGGGTAATGGCAATATGAGGTCTATTAATATCTTATATGTGGCATGTATCTCCCAAACTTATCTATAACAATTACTATATATAGTTACTTTTATTGTAAGTGAGTAACGCGCGATAATTCTGGGTACGGGGATACTTTAAAAATACAGAGTAATGGAACAGAGTTGAACAAAAAAGGAGAGGTGCTCAACAGCACACACTTTCTTTCATTGTTTCTAACTTTTGCCATTTTCGAAAATTCAGAAAGATTGTCGGGACGCGTAGTGTGAGAATAGATGGAATGTCGCAATCAAAATATTGCATTTTTCAGTCAAAATCGAAACTGTTTAATTGTTTCCTGATTTTTCCTGAATTCCTGGGTATCTGACGAAACCATAGACATCTCTCACGTGGCCGGAGACTGCATAGTTTTCTTGCAATTTTTGAGCGCATTGAAAATCAATAATAAAAATGAAGCAGTTTAAGCGCTTATAGTTTACGTTGTACATGAAAGTCCATACAATACTTTGTTCAATTTCATTTTTTATTCAGTCAAACCTCAAATGGAATTAACATATAACAAAATTAAACACTAAATTAAGTTTATTTTTTTACGCATTCAGAATTTGAAAAATTCTGTCAGTCTTCATGCAGCTCGTTGCGTGTGTTTTGCAAATGTACATTCCCGCCTGAGATATGGCATAATATTCTGGGGAAACTCATCATGTAGTACTTAGACCTTTAGATTGCAAAAGAAAATTATTCGAATAATGAAAAAATGCCATCCGCGTGATCCCTGCAAGCCTCTCTTCATTGAGCTTGGAATCTTACCCCGTATATTTACGAATCTGTAATATTTGTCAAAAGTGACTTACTTAACGGTGGGAACATATTTTCATGCAATACTAATATTTATAATTATAACACACGTCGTAAAAATCTCGTTCATCAAGTGTCAATATCAACAGCTCACTATCAGAAATCCACATACAATATATGTACGTTACTTTACAACGCATTGCCAGATGACATTAAACATCTGAAGTCGGTTCACAAATTTAAGTTAAAAGTAAAATCTTTTCTGCTGCATATCCGTTTCTATACAATTAGATACTATACTGACGATCGAAAAGAAAAATAATGTTTATTTTAACAAAACATATATAGTTTACATTTGTATTGTATATTTTTTTAAAGACATCATATGTTTGTAACAAATAATGCACTTCAGCTTCCGTGTCAATGACCCCCCTCTCGATCAGGTTTTTGTCCAGTTTTCCTGATCCGTTGCGCAAATGCTGAGATGGCCTCATGTTTTGCTTCTGGATGTAAACATAACTTCACTATGAGCACATTTGTTGAACTCTCCTTTTGCTTGTAATGTTAGGAGTAGAGGTAAGGGCGAGTTACTGTTTTGTTAGCAATGCAGAAAAATCATACTTGCAATTCGTGTACCGATGCTAATAAGTTTTCTATAACTCAGAAACAAAAATGGCTATTTTTCAAATATTGCTAATCTTACAATTTTTAAAATTTGTTTTAAAAATGTATTTATTTATTTATTTATTTAATTTATTTATTTATTTATTTATTTATTTATTTATTTATTTATTTATTTATTTATTTATTTATTTATTTATTTAATGTTAAATTTTTTCTCACCTTTCAACTATTTATAGTTAAAATAACGGGAAGGGATTCTGGAACTCAAGGAAATGTGCGCAGATAATCTTTCCCCCTACGTCAGATACAGTTTTTACCGTTTTTTGACTGAATAAATCTAATTCTAAACCGAGACACTAGATCATAAATATTAGATATTCGAATATCAGTTGGGAAAATTAAAAACAGAGCCTCCGCAGCCGGTAGGACTCGAGCCTACGCTCCCAGAGGAATCTGATTTCTAGTCAGACGCCTTAACCACTCGGCCACGGCTGCTCGTCTCCCGTCTTCGTACGTCCTGTTTATACCTACAAATGCCTTCCATCACGCTGCGCCAATGTATGGTAAGCGCATGCGTCTCCTTCTTCCGGAATGTCGATGGCGCACAATTTGGTTGCGCCAACTACTTGTTTGTGATCGCGTGAGGTATTGCGTGTTTTTAGCATTGGTAAGGATGGTTGTGTTTATTGATACAATATATGTTTTAGTATGCAAGTGTGAGTCTTGGCATGAGCAGCCGTGGCCGAGTGGTTAAGGCGTCTGACTAGAAATCAGATTCCCTCTGGGAGCGTAGGTTCGAGTCCTACCGGCTGCGTGAAAATTTTCCCCATTTTTTTCGTGCTAAGTAGTATAAAAAAAAGCATTCCAAAGCTGTTGAAAAATGCCTACTTTTGGCCAGAAAACTTGATTTTCTTG